TTGATAGTGTTTTTTTTTTTTTTTTTTTTTTTGAATATTGAGACGGGGTCTTACTAAGTTGCTGAGGATGTCCTCAAACTGTGATCCTCCTGCCTCAGCCTCCAGAGTCGCTGCCTGACTAGTACTGGTTCTTCTTTGCTTACCAATTCCTCTTTCAATTCATCCTCTGTTGCTGTAGGCTTCAAAGAGGAACCAAGCCACTTCCTTTAACACTTAGAAATCTCAGCTAAATAGCCAGTTTTCTTCTCTCTCACTTTTTATCTTCCACAAAACACTAGACTACAGCTACTAAGTTCTTTGCCACTTTATAACAAGGATCACCTTTCCTCCAATTTTGAATTACAGGTTCCTCATTTCTATGACCTCACCAGAATCACCCTGGCCCCTTTTTGTATTCTTCTTTAGGTACTGGGGATTAAACCCAGTACCACTGAGCCACATCCCCAGCCCTTTTTATTTTTTTATTTTGAAACAGGGCCTCACTATGTTGCCGAGGCTGGCTTTGAACTTGTGACCCTGCTGCCTCAGTCTCCCAAGTTGCTGGTATTACAGGTGTAAGCCACTGTGTCCTGCTCAGTATCATCTATATTATTTGTGTGTGTGTGTGTGTGTGTGTGTGTGTAAAATGTCCACATATCTAGCAAGCATCTCAAAACTCTTCCAGTTTGTACTCATTACTCTGTTCCAAAGCCACTTCTACATTTTCAGGTATTTGTGACAGTAGTACCTCAGTTCCTGATACTATAATGTGTTTTAGTCAGCTCTGGTTGTCATAATAAAGATATCATAGATTTGAATGATTTAAAAACATAAATTTCTCACAGTTCTGAAGACTAGAAGTTCAAGATCAAGGTTATGGCTGATTTAGTTTCTTGTGAGGGCTCTCTTGGCTTGTAGATGCACCTTTTTGCTGTGTCCTCAGTTGGGAGAAGGGAGTAGGCTTTCTGGTGAGCTTTCTGTGAGTGTGTCGGGGCAGGTGGGGGGCTACTTGGGATTGAACCCAGGGGTATTCTGCCACTGAGATATCTCCCAGTTTTTTTATTCTAATTTTGAGATAAGATCTCTCTAAATTTCTGAAGCTGGCTTCAAACTTGAGATTCCCTCCTGCTTCAGCTTCACCAAAGATTACAGGCATGCATCACTGAACTCAGTATCTAGTGTCTCTTCTTAAAGTCACTAATCTTGTCAAATCAAGATATATATCTTTTTATCTCATTTAACCTTAATTATTTCTTTTGAGGCCCTTTCTCTAAATACAGACACTTTTGGGGGTAGAGTTTCAACCTGTGAATATTTTGGGGGGGGGAATAATTCATTTCATAGTTGCAGGACATTTATATCATGTGAAAAACTGATTTTCCTTCCAACACATTCCTAGCTGAGGTTGAAGAAAATGATGCTTCACCTTCTTGTTTTAGCTCTCATACTGTAAACATGAGTATCTTTTTTGTGTGTTCTTTTTGTTTGTTTGTTTTAATTTTTTAGTTGTAGTTGGACACAATACCTTTATTTTTATATATATATATATTTATTTTTAAAAATTTATTTTTTAGTTTTAGGTGGACACGATATCTTTATTTTACATTTATGTGGTGCTGAGGATCGAACCCAGTGCCTCGTGCATGCTAGGTGAGCACTCTACCTGAGCCACGACCCCAGCCCAATTTTATTTATTTATTTTTATGTGGTGCTGAAGATTGAATCCAGGGCTAGATGAGTGCTCTACCGCTGAGCCATGACCCCAACCCAATTTTATTTATTTATTTTTATGTGGTGCTGAAGATTGAATCCAGGGCTAGATGAGTGGTCTACCGCTGAGTCATAACCCCAGCCCATTGTGTGTTCTTTTTAATGCTGCATTTTTTTCTTTTTGTTGGTGATTTAAATGTTTAAAATGTCCCTCAGGTATAGTGCTTAACTGCTGGATAGTGTTTCTAAGCACAGGAAGGGTGTATTATGCCTTGTGGAGAAAATACATGTATTAGAGAAGTTGTTGGGTTTTTTGGTACAGGGGATTGAACTCGGAGGGACTTGATCACTGAGCCACATCCTCAGCCCTATTTTGTATGTTATGTAGAGATAGGGTCTCATTGAGTTGCTTAGCACCACACTATTGCTGAGGCTGGCTCTGAACTTGAGATTCTCCTGTCTTAGCCTCCTGAGCTGCTGGGATTATAGATGTGTACCACTGCACCTGGCTAGATAAGTTTTATTCCTGGGTAAATTATTGTGCTATTGGTTGTAAGTCAATATTAATAAATCAACATATAATAAATGTTTTAAACAGGAATACACATAAATAAGGTTATGTAGCCTGGTATGGTGGTGTGTATAATCCCAGCTACTTGAAAGGCTGAGATAGGAGTGGAGGATCACAATTTGGAGGCAGCCTGGACAATTTAGCAAGATCTTGTCTCAAAGTAAAAAGCAAAAAGGGCTGGGGATATAGCTCAGAGTAGGATAGAATGTCCCTGGGTTCAGTCCTCAGTATGCGGGGGGAGAAGGGTGGAGTATATACATTAATCAATTGATGAAAAATGTAACCAGAGGTTCATTGAAATGTAACCCTTTATTTTCCCTGGGAACAATAATTCGTTATTCACTGTTGGTAGTAGTTTATAGAATATATAGAACTACAAATTATAAGAGTCAACTTTGAAATCACCTATGTTTTTTTTTAATTGTTTGTTTTTGAAGGTACTAGGGATTGAAAAATGGGGCACACTATTGCTCAGCTACTTATCCAATCCTTTTTATTTTTTATTTTGAGACAGGTTCTAACTAAATTGTCAGGCTAGCCTCAAACTTGCAGTTCTCCTTCCTCAGTCTCCCAAGTAACTGGCATTAGGCATGTGCCACCACATATGCTTTCATTTTTATATTCTTGTACTTTTACCAGTTACAGAACTCTTGGTTTATTTTTATTTTTATTTTTTTGTCAGTTAATTATGTTATCCAATCACCTGGCTTTGAGAATCACTGAATAAATATAGAAGACTAGGGGTACTAGAGGTTGAACCAAGCGCCTTTTGCATGCTAGGCAAGTATTCTACCAGTGAGCTACACTCCCAGCCCTTTTTAAAGGTCTCATTTAATTGCTTAAACTAGACTTGAATTTTAGATTCTTTTGCTTCACCTTAGACAATAGCTGGGATTATAGGCATGTACCACTATGCATGACTTTTTGACCAATTCCTCTTACTTCTCCATTGGTCTGCTGGTAAATATTTATTTTTATTTATTCATTTAAATTTCACCACTTCAAAAGGAAAGGCCCTACCCATTTCTTAATCGTTCCCTGTTCTTCTCTCCTAAGCCCCTACAACTATCAGTTCGTGTTCTGTTTCTGTAGATTTACGTATTCTGGATATTTCATGTATTAAATATATGACCTGTATGTCTGGCTTTTCCACTTAACATGTTTTTAGAGTTCATCTGCATTGTAGCACGTGTTAGAATTTTATTCCTTTTTAATAATATTCCATTGTATGTATATAGTATAATATGTTTATCCTTTAATTAGTTGATAGATACTTAGATTATTTCTTTTCTTTTGGCAGTTGTGAACAGTGCTGCTATGAGAATGTATTTATAAATACTTGTTATAGTACCATTTTTCAGGTTTCTTTGGGTATGTCCAGGAGTAGAATTGCTGAATCATATGGTAATCTCGTGTTTCAACTTTTTTGGGACCCACCCCCAATGTCTTTTTTTAAACAGTGGATGAACCACTTTATGTTCCCACCAACAATGTATGGGGGTTTTGTTGATTTTAATTTTTCTGAACTTGTATTCATATCCAAACTATGCCATGATTTGGAAAATCAAGCTACCCATAGCCACTTGACTATGTTTAATAGTCTGTTGAATAGTCAAGTGATACAAGAAGTTTACTATATCATTAATGAACAAATACTGTTGTAAAAATGAATGCTGGGGGCTGGGGTTGTGGCTCACTGGTAGAGCGCTTGCCTTGAATGTATGAGGCACTGGGTTTGATTCTCAGCACCACATATAAATAAAAAATAAAGTTCCATCATGAAAATGAATAAAATAAAATTTTAAAAAATGAATGTTGGTTACATTTTTACTTAAGTTAACTAATATGATAAAAATAAAACAATAAAATTGGCTAAGTTTCATTTTGTTTTGCTGAATTGACTTTTTTCTCCCTTCTGGATAGTAGACACTAAACCCAGGGGTGCTATAACCCCAGCCCTTTTTAATTTTTATTTATTTATTTAAAAAAATTTTTTTCAGTTGTTGATAGACCTTTATTTTATTTGTTTATATGCAGTGCTGAGAATTGAATCCAGTGCCTTACACATGCCAGGCAAGTGCACTACTGCTGAGCCACAGCCCCAGCACACCCTTTTTTATTTTTATTTTAAAAAATTATTTATTTTTGTTACTGGAGATTGAACCCAGGGGCACTGAGCCACATCCCCAGCCCTTTTTATTTTTTATTTTGAGATAGGGTCTCACTAAGTTGCTTTAGGACCTTGCTAAATTGCTTAGGCTGACCTCAGACTTGTGATCCTCCTGCCTCAGCCACTTAAGCCCTTGGGATTACAGAGGCATGCCACTGTATATTTGGCTGAATATTTCCTAGATTTTTGGTGAAATTCACAATGTAATGGCTACAGATACAACACATTTTAAAATTCTGATTTGGATATTTTCTACCTCACATGGATTTTTTATAGATAATAAAATAAGCTCAGATCTGTGGCTAATTTGTTAGCTGATTTCCATGGAGAAAATACTGCCATTATAGATGATTTCAAGCTGTTGACTTGATGGCATTGATCATGGAGATGGAAGAAGAGACAACATTCATTAGCCTGTCTTTCTATGGTATTTCCCCTGTGAAGGACTGTAGGTATGGGTCACCATGCCTGCATCTGCTGAAGAAGGTTTTTTGTTTGTTTGTTTTGTTTATAATATAACAGGAACCTTGAAAATAAAATTGTTATGTTTAATTGGGCGGCAGGGGAGTGGTGTGTCCTCAGTGTTAGAATGTGTGCTTAGGGTGCACAAGGTCCTGGGTTTGACTCCAAACACCAAAATATGTAAATATGTGCATAAAATTGGTATATTTAATGGAGAAAAATTTTGTTTAGCTTCTTTTTTTTTTTTTTCCCCATAATGCTGGGCATTGAACTCAGGCTTCATGCATGGTAGGCAAGTGTTCTACTACTGAGCTGTACCTCCACTTCTTTACCAAGACTTTAAATATGGGCTGGGTTTATAGCTCAGTAGTAGAGCAGTTGCTTTGCATGTGTGAGGTACTGGGTTCAATCCTTAACACCACATAAAAATAAATAAAATAAAGATATTGTTTCCACCTATAACTAAAAAAAATGTGCTTTATCAGTTTAAAATACCTCTATAAAAAGCTGTGTATACTGGCAAGTTATATGAAAATTGTTATTATTTCTTTTTCTTTTTGAGTTAAATTGTCAAAAAAAGGGTGCCTTTTAATTTTTATTAATTAGGGCTGGGGATGTGGCTCAAGTGGTAGTGCACTCGCCTGGCATGCGTGCGGCCCGGGTTCGATCCTCAGCACCACATACAAACAATGATGTTGTGTCCGCCGAAAACTAAAAAATAAATATTAAAAATTCTCTCTCCCTCTCTCACTCTCTCTTTAAAAAAAAATTTTGGTAATTATTTCAGAAAACATTGTATAAATAGATTTATAAATTTCCAAATGAAAACCTTTCTTTGAGGAGTTAGAAAAAAAGCCCTTGATTTTAAAGTATTTTTTGTAATGAATTATGCTTTTTGGATGCCATTTTTTTATTATTTTTAATATCATTATCTCTTTCTTTAGGTTCGATTAGTGATAGTAGATGGCATTGCTTTTCCTTTTCGCCATGACATTGATGACCTATCCCTTCGAACTCGATTACTAAATGGCCTTGCCCAGCAAATGATCAGCCTTGCAAATAATCACAGATTAGCTGTAAGTATTACTGGTCAAGAGAGTTTCTTTAATAAAGTCAAGACTGTATAAAATATTAATGACTACAAATACCAAGGTATATTTTGCCTTACTCTAAAAAGGAAAAAATATGTACATGCAGGGTTTTTTTGGTTTTGTTTTGGTACTGAGGATTGAACCCAGAGGTATTTTACCAGTGAACCACATTTTCTAGCCTTTTTAAAATTTTTTTATCTTGAGATAGGGTCTCACTAAATTGCTTGGGGCTGGCCTCAAACTTTTGATCGTCCTCCTTCAGCTTCCTGAGGTGCTGGGTTAATACAGGTGGATTACACCACCACACCAAGTGGACACAGTTTTGAAGGTTGTTTTATTTTGGTTTGGTTTATAAAAAGAATTAGTACTAGTCATAAGTGTCTTGTATCTGTTTTCCTGCAAAATAACAAGCATAATCAATGTAATTTTTAAAAAACAAACTTTGATAAATAAATGCCACCTTTGGTAATTGTATTTTGTCTTTATCTAAATATATATTTTATGTTTATAACGTCCTCGTTTTTGTTTAGTAAGTATTTCATCATTTCATAGTAAAAAAATCATAGATTCATGGATTGGAAAAAAATCATAATGTAAACAACCTAGTGTATTAAGGTAGAGCCAACTCTTTGAGATTTGAATGTGAAAAGAGAGGTAAATATAAGATCAGAAATATAGAGATAAAAACGTAAGCTTTTTTTTTGTTTTGCTATCACACAAAATACCAGACCAGCTTTGAGTTTACAATCCTGCCTCAGTCTCCTATAATTCCTAGCTGGAATTACAGACACACACCTCATGTGGCTTTTTTATTTTTTTAAACTTTAAACCACCTGTTTACCATTACTTTCCACTCTGCTACCCTATCTTACCACTGACAAACATACTTTTGTTAGGAGGAAGATGGAAGATCAAACTGTTTTACTTAATTTTTTTTTGTTTTTACCCTGATTAGAGTCTTTAAACACATCTTTGCAATACATTATAAGTTAATAAAGAATTCTCTCTATAAAATTTAAAACATACATATTTTCTTTGAGTTTCAGATTTTTTGCCATATTCTGAGAAGGGTAGCTTCTATGTTTGAATTAATTTTTGCCATTAATTTAGCCTTGTTAATACCTGAATCAGTGAAGAATCCCCAGTAGAGGGCACTCAAGACTAATGGGTTGCATAGTTTTTTTAAGTTTATTTATTTATTTTCCTCAGACTAGATTTCACTGTGTTACCCAGATTGGACTTGAACTTGAGATCCTCCTGCCTCAGCCTGCTGGGTAGCTGGGATTACATGGGTGTTTCACTGCACTTAACTAGGTTTTTGTTTTAATAGTAATAGTTTCATCTTTTTTTTTCTTTCTTTTATCTTTCTGTGGTCCTGTGAATGAACCCAGGCTTCATACATGATAGGCAAGCCTTCTATTATTGGGCTATGTCCCCAGCCCTTTTTATATTTTATTTTGAGACAGATTGTTAAGTGTGGTCTCAAACTTGGAATCTTCCTGACTCAGCCTCCCTAGTGGCTGGGGAGTACAGGCACATGTTACTGCATCTGGCTTCAAATCAATTTTTCTTATTTTGGGCAGGGATACTAGGGATCAAACCCAGGGTGCTCTATCTCTACCCCTTCTTTAAATTTTAATTTTCAGACAGGGTCTTGCTCAGTTGCTGAGGTTGATCTAGAACTTGGAATCCTCCTGCCTCAGCCTTCTGATTTGCTGGATTTATAGGTGTGTGCCCCATGCCCAACTAGAATAAATTTCTTAATGTGAAAGTATTAAACCAAAGGAATCTTTTTTTTTTTTCCCTCCCTGTAGAACTAGGAATTGAACCCAGATGTACTTTACCGCTGAGCTATACCCGTAGCCTGTTTTTTTTTTTTTTTTTTTTTTTTTTTTTTTTAAAAACAGGATCTAACTATGTTGCTTAGGGTTTTGCAGAGCTGATGAGGCTGGCCTCAAACTTGCAACCTTCTTCTCAGCTTCCCTAGTAGCTGAGATTTCAGGTGTGTGCCACCACACCTGGCGAAGGATTCTGTTTTTAAGCATTTTGCTTGAGCATTTTCTTTCATACTCTTAAATTACTCTCAGAAAACATGTTCCAAAATATGCTCTCTTTTAGCAATGAATGGAAATTCTTGTTTTCCCACATCTTTCTCACCCTTTGGTATTACCAGTCTTTTAACTCTTTTCCAAAATGAGATGAGGACAGGGTCTTGCTGAGTTGCTTGGGGCCTTGTTAAATTGCTGAGTCTGTCTTTGAACTTGCAATTCTCCTGGCTTAGCCTCCCTGGCCACTGGGATTACAGGCCTGTGCCACCATGCCTGCCTAGGAAAGTCCTTTTAAAAATGTATTTCTAGGGCTGGGATTGTAGCTTAGTGGTAGAGCACTTGTCTAGCATGTGTGAGGCACTAGGTTCAATCCTCAGCACCACAGAAAAATAAATAAAATCAAGATATAGTGTCCATCTACAACTAAAAAAAAATTTTAAAAAAATGTGTTTTTAGCCAGGCTTGGTGGTATATGCCTATAATCCTAGCAGTTTGGGAGGCTAAGGCAGAAGTATTGTGAGTTCAGCAAAAGTATGGTGCTAAACAGCTCAAGGAGACCCTGTCTCTAAATAAAATACAAAATAGAGGTGGGGATGCGGCTCAGTGGTCGAGTGCCCCTGAGTTCAATCCCCAGTACCACCCCCTCAAAAAATAAATGTATTTCTTTAGTTATTAGTCAAAAATTTTACAACTGCTTTAATAAGGTGTAATTCACGTATCACTCACCCTTTTAAAGTAAGTAATTCAATGTTTTGGGCAAATTCAGGAAGTCAAGGAAAAATCACCACTGTCTAATTTTAGGACATTTCTAGTCACTCCCTAAAAGAAATCTCTGCTCCACAATGACCCTTCAGACTATTAAAAATGTCTATACCTTTATTTTCTTCTCTAAGATCTCATGGAAATTTCTTCTGTTGCAAACCTGATGTCATATATGAGGAAAGTAATTCCATAAAATATAGTTCCAAATTTAAAAACAAAAACCATTCTGCCCTCCCCATAGTCCCTAACCACTACTCATCTGCTTTATGTCTTTTTGAATTTGTCTTTTTTAGATGTTTCATATAAATAGAATCATGTAATATATGACCTCTTTTGTGTGGCTTCTTTCACTTAGCATAATAATGTTCTCAATACTCACCTATGTTGAACTGGGGATATAGCTTAGTGGTGGAATGCTTGCCTAACATATTTAAAAAAACACATAGATTCATCCGTGTTTTACATATATAAGTATCCTTTTATTATTTTATTGATATTAGTGCTTGAATCCAAAGGTGCTTTACCACTGAGCCACATCCCCAGCCTATTTTTCTTTTGTACTGGGGATTGAACTCAGGGGCAATTTACTACTGAGCTACTTCCCCAGCCTTTTTTATTTTTTATTTTGAGACAGGGTCTTGCTAAAGTTGTTTAGAGCCTTGCTCATTTGCTAAGGCTGGCATTTAACTTCTATCATCCTGTCTCAGCCTCTGAAGCCACTGGGATTACAAGCATGTACCCCATGCACAGCTTTTACTTTTTATTTTGAGACAGAGTTTTACCATGCCACTTGGGACTTTGCTAAGTTACTGAGTCTAGCCTCAAATCTATAATCCTCCTGCCTCAGCCTCCCAAGTCACTGGGATTATGGGCAGGTACCACCATGCCCTCAATATCCTTTTAATGACTAAATAGTTTTGCATTTTCTGAATATGCCACATTTTGTTTATCATCAGTTGAAGGACATTTGGATAGTGAAAGTTTTGTTTTGTGAATTTATCCTTTATTTTATTTATTTGTTTTCAAGTGGTGCTGAGGATTGAATTTAGTGCCTCACATGTGCTTTACCACTGAGCCACAATCCCAGCCTCGTGAAAGTATTTTTAAAGCTCTGAAGTTTATAATTTCAAAATGATTGTTAATTTTACTGTTTTAAAGGCTTATTTATGAGAACCTTGGAGTAATCACATGGTCATTTGTATCATGTTGAGTCCAATATTTTTGTAGAAATAGTGTAATTATTTTATAAAGATTTGCTAATAATTCAAAATTGAATTTTAGGATGTTGGACAGCTGGTTCATTTTCTTGAATATATGTAATGGATAAGCTAAATACTAGGAACCAGTTCTGGCCAATAAAACTTTTGAAAAGATAGAAATTTGCAGTCTAGACCTTTGAGTTCTTGAAATATGGCTAATGCTACTGAGGAACTGCATTTCTAGTTTTAATTTAACTTTTAAAAAGCTATGTGTGACTAATGGCTATGGATCTGGTCATCCTATCTCTAAATAAAAAGTGTGGGCATAAGCAAATATTCTAGATGCTAAGATTTAAGCAGAATGTACAGTAAGATGTATTACTCAGCATTTTGGGGAAGCTCGTTAGTCATACACTTCAGTTAATTACCAATTTAAATTCCTGTCTAGCTTTTTCTAAGATGCCTGGCATGAGGCAACGAATGAGGAAGGTACTATGGCACTTAAGGAGTGAATAATTTTAAAAAGTCATGTAATTCATTTGGTATCTGATTGAAATTAAAATGAACTACAGAGTTATTTCTAGCTAAACAAAAATTTTAGTTATGTTGCCATTACAATAGAAACAGCCAAAGAGCCTTTTGTTTTTTAAAAAATTATTTTATTTTTATTATTATTATTATTATTATTTAGAAATCTTTTTTTTTAAACCTTAACTTTATTTTTATGTGGTGCTGAGGATCGAACCCAGCGCTGAGGATTGAACCCAACGCCTTGCACACGCTAAGCGAGTGCTCTACTGTTGAGACACAGCCTCAGCCCCTTGTTGTTTATTTTTTATGTGGTGATGGGTATTGAACCTAGGACCTTATGCATGCTAGGCAAGTGCTTTACCACTGAACTATCTCTCCAGCCCAGACAGCCTTTTCTTGAGAGCTTGTTTGGAGGTTCTAGCAGGGGAACAAGCTACTCATATACCCTTGACTGAAGAAAAGTCTTCTATCAGGGAAGATCTCCCTCTTGGCTGAGCATGCAGCTCTGGGAGGGATGCACAGGGAGCGGTGAGGGAGGAAGGGATACCCTTCTAGCCATCCAGAGTCAGCTGAATCATCCCTGATGATGAATGGGTGCCAGATTTTATAGCCAGATCATTCTCACCTCCTGAACAGCATTATCTTTCTTTCTTTCAAACAATTTTTTTTTTAAGTAGGCAACTTATATTGCTTTTCAGAGAATTCTTTTTTCTTTAAGAGTTCAGCTTGCAAAAGTAACTGTCTTCTTTCTGGAGGGATGTTTAGTAATGGAAGAATATTTAAAATAACCATTTGGGTTGGGCCTGGTGGTGCATGCTTGTAATCCCAGTGGTTTGGGAGGCTGAGGCAAGAGGATCTTGAGTTCAAAGCCAGCCTTAGCAACTTAGAGAGGCTCTAAGCAACTGTTTCTAAATAAAGTACAAAAAAGGGGCTGGGGATGTGGCTCAGTGGTTGAGTGATTTTGGGTTCAATTCCCAGTGCAAAACAATTATATATATATGAACAATAATAAATGCTGGAGAGGATATAGAGAAAAAGGAACACTTTTACACTGTTGGAGGGATTGTGAATTAGTATAACCACTATGGGAATCAGTATCAATGTTCCTGAAAACACTAGGTATGGAACCAGCATATGACCCAGATATTCCACTCCTCAGTATTTTTTATTTTTATTTATTTTTTTTAAGTTGTTGATTGACCTTTATTTATTTACTTATATGTGGTGCTGAGGATTGAACCCAGTGCCTGCATGTGCTAAGTGAGTGTTTACTGCTGAGCCACAACCCCAGCCCTTCACACCTCAGTATTTATCCTAAAGAATTAAAGTCAGGATACTGTAGCAATAGATGCATATCCATGTTTGTAGCAGCACAATTAACATTAGCCAAACTATGGAATCAGTCTAGGTGTCCATCAATAGATGAATGAACAAAGCAAAAAATGACATATGTACACAGTATAGTTTTATTCAGCCATAAAGAAAAATGAAATTATGTCATTTTTAGGAAAATAGATGAAACTTGAGACTATCATGTTAAGTGAAATAAGTCAAACTCAGAAGCTCAAAAGTCCTATGTTTTCTCTCATTTGTGGAAGCTAGAGAGGGAAAAGGAAAAGATAGTTGCTAGGGTAATCACGTGAAAAGCAAAGGGAGATCAGTAGAGTAGGGGAAAAGGAAGGGGACCAGGGAAGAGGGAGAAGTGCTGGGGTGGGAATATTGGTCAGATTATATTGTTATCTTGTGTGCATGTACTAATATGTAACAATAAATCCCACCATCATGTACAACTGTATGCACCAGTAAAATGTCTGGTGCAAAGAAAAACAAATTTACAAAAGCATGGGGTGTGCGCTGGGGATGTAACTCAGTGATAGAGTGTCCTGGATTTAATCCCTAGTACCACCAAAAAAATATAAAAGTTTACTGTTGGGGTTGTGTGGAGGGGTGGCTCATAGATTATGTGGAGAATGGTCAAGGCCTTTGGTTCAATCCCTAAAATAAAAAAATAAAGTGATTATCAAAACATGGAATCTTTGGCTGGGACTGTAGCTAAGTGGCAGAGCACTTGCCTGGCATGTGTGAGCACTAGGTTCGATCCTCAGCACCACATAAAAATAAATAAATAAAGGTATTATGTCCATCTACAACTAAAAATTTTAAAATAAAAACATGGATTTTTTTACCATAGGCCACTTTTTCATCCAAGATAATTAGTAATATTTTTAGCTTTGAAGGCTATCTCTGAGTATAGCAACAACTGGTTATTACTAACAAAGTATTATAATTTTAATTTAGAATTTGATCTGGTTACTGAGTTTTTCTACTAATATTTGTATTATACTTTATGAATTTAGAGCTCATATTTTTTTCTCACTTGTTTTTTCTCTGTAAAATGATAAACTTTAATGCCATATTTGTCTCCTTTCTAAACATAAAAACATTGAGGTTTTTATTCCTTTGAATAAAGATATTCTAGCCAGGCTCGGTGGTGCATGCCTAAAATCCCAGTGGCTTGGGAGGCTAAGGCAGGAGGATCGCGAGTTCAAAGCCAGCTTCAGCAAAGTGCTAAGCAACTCAGTGAGACCCTGTTTCTAAATAAAATACAAAAAATAGGGCTAGGAATGTGGCTTAGTGGTCAAGTGCCCCTAAATTCAATCCTCAATACAAAAGAAAAAACAAACAATAGATGGGCATGGTGGCATGCACCTGTAATCTGAGTTACTTGGGAGGTTGAGGCAGAAGGATTGAGAGTTCAAGGTCAACCTGGACAATCTAGGAGACTCTGCTTAAAAAAAAAAAAAGATATTCTGCGGAGGCAATAATGGTAAAGAACTGAATCTTTTAAGCCTCCGATTTCTTATGTGTAAAACTGGAATAACAATCCAATTTAGCCACATGCAGTGGTGCCCCCTGTAATCCAAGAGACTCTGGAGGCTGAGGCAGGAGGATTGTAAGCTTAAGGCCAGCCTCAGCAATTCAGCAAAGCTCTAAATAACTTTGGGAGACCCTGTCTCAAAATAAAAAATTAAAGGGTCTGGGAATGCAGCTCAGGGATAAAGCTGCAAAAATACAGTACCAAAAATACTATAAGTAAATAAATAAATAGTACCCCATTATAGAATAGTTTTAAAAATTAGATAAGGTAATGAAAATAAATTGTATTTAAAAGTTTCTGGAATGTATTCAGTACTCAATAAATATTCATTACCACTATGATGTTGCTGCTGCTGTTCTGGTTATTTTACTGACTTGATTTGAATTTTTTAAAAAAATATTTTTAAGATGTTAATGAACCTTTATTTTATGTATTTATTTGTGTGTGGTACTGAGAATCAAACCCAGTGCCTTACACATGCTAGGCAAGTGCTCTACCACTGAGCTACAACCCCAGCCTAAAACTTAAAAGTGAAGTTTTTCTAGTTCTCCAAGTTATGAAGCTTTTGTTCTTTGAGTCTTTATGTATTATTTGGTTTGGTTTATTTTATTCTAACATTTTTACAGAAAGAACTTCTCTGTTCTTATCAAGGTTAGGCAATTCACAGTAGGCCACAGATGGTAAGGAACCTGCAGAGTTTTGCTCTAGAGTCCAACCTATGCCATACCACCTTTCTACTGCCCCCTCCCTCCCATTCTTATTAAAAAGTTTTCTGATTGGGAGGCTTAGGCAGGAGGATTGTAAGTTTGATTGTCAGCATGGGCTGGGGATGTAGCTAAGGCCAGTCCCCAGTACTGAAAAAAAAATTTTTTTTCTCTGAATGTGTAGAGCACTGTGAATAAGGAAGAGGTACAGTTTTCTTTCCTGAGAGTAAACCAATTCTTGATGTTGCTTTGCTGCAACTGTTGCCTGCCATTAATGATCATTCTTTATTTTTTAGTGGGGAAGAGATTGAACCCATAAGTGTTTAACCACTGAGCCACATCCCCAGCCCTTTTTTATATTTTATTTAGACAGGTCTCACTGAGTTGCTTAGGGCCTCACTAAGCTGCTGAGGCTGACTTTGAATTTGCAATCCTCCTTGCCTCAGCCTCTGCAGCCACTGGGATTACAGGTGTGCACCACCGCACCTGGCTCAATATACTCTTCTTTTGGGATCTACCAGCTCTGTTCAACAGCTATGATCTTTGTCAAGTTACGAACTTTTTCCTGCCTTAGTTTCTCCAGCTCTAAAGCTGACAAGATTAATGTTTGTATTTATATGTATAGCACCCAAAATGTTAGGGTTTGTGGCAAGCCCTCAATAAATAGTAGCTAATACTGTGCTAGGTATGATGGAATACAATTGTAGTCTTATCTACTTGGGAGGCTGAAGCAGGAGGGTTGCAAGTTTCAGACTTGGCAGCTAGGCTTGGGGTGTAACTCAGTGGTAGAGCATGTAGGTAAGGCCTTGGGTTCCATCCTCCGTATGGGGGAAAACAAGTTTTTAGATAATTAATTTTTATGAGCACACTTTTTTTTTGTACTAAATATTTGAACCCAGGGCACTTAACCACTAAGCAAAATCCCCCGCCTTTTTTGTTTTTTATTTTGAGACAGGGTCTTCTTAAGTTGCTTAAGGCTTCCTTAAGTTGCTGAGGCTGGCCTTGAATTTGTGATCCTCCTGCTTCAGCCTCCCAAGTCATTGGAATTATAGGCATGTACCACCATATATGGCCTTATGGGTATATTTAAAGAAACTTATTGGAAAATTTTTTTAATCTAAATATGTTTGTGTTTAACATTTTCTTTAGCAGTTATTGTATTTAGAAATCACAGGAGAGTATACTTGATCATTTTGGGGAGAGACTCAGGTGAGTCTGACTTTCCCACATTTTTGCTTTTTTAGGTAATTTTAACCAATCAAATGACAACAAAGATTGATAAAAATCAGGCCTTGCTGGTTCCTGCATTAGGTAGGTAAATTAATGAGATGAGCATTTTTAATTTAACAATTTTTTCTGCCTTTTCATTTGATGTTTATTGAGTGCTATAAGGTCTATGAAAGCAAAGGGTGTTTATTTTGCATATTGATAAATCTTAGCACCAAGCACAGTGTTCTTTCACTAATTTAACAAACAGTTACTGAATATTTACTGTCAAGTTGCTGAAATACAAATATTCAAAAAATTACTGCTACTATCAAAACCTCACAGTGTGAGTTAAGAGAAAAGAGTAATCCATTTAAATACATATCATATTTCCATGAGTAGACTTATGACTCTGTTCCTAGCCTCAGCATGATTTTGTTAGAACAAAATGCCACAAGATGTATTTCCACTAAAATCTGTAAGAATATATCTATATATATATATTTTTGCCAGGCACAGTGATGTACATCTTTTGTTTCAGCTACTTGGGGGACTGAGATAGGAGGCTCGCTTGAGTCCAGGAGTTTGAGGGCAGCCGGGACAACATAGATCCCATCTTAAAAAAAAAGAGGCTAATGATTTATAGTATTTCCCTAGATTGGTAAAACTCTATTAATCTTAGCATGTGACTCACATCCTAGGATTTTTAAATCCAAGTACATTCTTGTTATGTTAAATTTGATGAAGTAAAACTATATTTTGTTAGAGGTATTCTAAGGAACTTATAGCCTAGTCAGCAAGGCAATATTAAGTTATGTTCTTTTCTTTCAGGGGAGAGTTGGGGACATGCTGCTACAATACGGCTAATTTTTCAGTGGGACAGAATGCAAAGGTAGGTACAGAAACAAGTTAATAATTGTGAATATTAGGTTAATTATGCTCATTACTTATTAGTTTCTTAAGTAGTTCCCAGAATGAGATTTATAGTGACCCAAAACTAATGCTTTTGCTGCCTTGTCTGGCATTACTTATACTAAACATAGAAGCATATTGTTGTGTTGCACATTTAACTACATAGAGAATTTTTTGGAATTTTAAAATGATGGGGTGTATGCACCTGAAACAAGTAGGTGACTAAGGAATGCCACCTTCTAAAGCTCTCTAAAGTAATTTATTAGCCGTACAGAATGGTACTCTGTGTTCCTAGAAGGAACTGAAAGAAGAATAAAATCAAGACAAAAGAAAAATTTTGAGGTTAGCTTTAGGACTAATTTTAATATGGAAAATAGGATGGCTTTTTAGTTGCTTAATATAATTCTTGTATGAAATTGTGTCTTTTTTTTATTCTGCTTTTATTACCCAGTTACTTACCTGCCTTTCACAAGAATTGTTCTTTAAAAAAAAAATCATGGCAGCATGAAACCTTTGTGTTTGTTTTTAAAGCTGCTGAGCTATTGAATGAACCAGCTTTCTTTTTCTTTAAAATAGGCCATTGAAAGCTATGAAGTCTTTTATTCTGTGCTTCAAAAAATGTCAGATTCATGCCAGCTTTTCTGCCTTGTGATTAATTGGAATTACCTACAGACCTTGGCATGGAAATACTCTAATAATGGAGGAAACTGAGGCAGTACATGGGTAAAGATGGAATAATCACCTAAAAACATATTGGGCCTAGTCAGTGACATTGTTTTTTTTAAGTTGCATTTATTTGTTCTAAAACTGAAAAAAAAAAAAAAACAGGCCTAAGTTAGTTTTTAGTGACACTAAGCTCATAGCAAAACTAATTACACTTGGGCATACGTATTTTGCATTGATTTGTGTAGTCTTTGTCTCCTTGAAAGATTAGTATTTCCAGCTAGGCATGGTGGCACACACTGTAAATCCAGCTACTTGGGAAGGGCTGAAGCAGGAGGATTGCAAGTTCGAGGGCAGCCTTGGCAACTTAGCAAGACCCTTTCTCAAAATTGAAAAAAAAAAAAGGGGGGTGGGGGTGGGGGTGCTGGGGATGTAGCTTATTGGTAGATTGCCCCAGGACTGGGAAAAAAAAAAAAAAGAGAGAGAGAGATGGTATTTCCAAAGAGCTTAGGTAAAATTCCCCCATAATTTTGTCAGCTTTTAATTGTTGTGACAAAATAACCTGAGAAAAACAATTTAAAGGAGGAAATATTTATTTTGGCTTACAGTTTCAAGCAATTCAATAGTTGCTTGGTCCCCATCACTGTGGGCTTCTGTTGAAGAGAATGTCATGGCATGGTGTTGTGGAGAAGAACTGCATACCTCATGGTGGCAAGAGGGGGCCCAGGAAAGCAGCTGGGGACAAGATGTAGTTTTTAGGAACATGTCCCCAAGACCCAATCCCTTCAATTAGATCCCACCTCCTACAGTTTTTACCACCTACCAATATCCATTCACCTGTGAATCCATCAATGGGCTAACTATGGATGAGGTTAGAGCCCTCATGATTCAGTCTCTTCTGAAAATCCCCTCTGAACATTGCTGCATTGAGGACCAAGCCTTTAACACATGAGCCTATGGGGAATATTTCAGATTCAAACCATAAAAGTAGTGAATAGTGTTTTACAATTACCTATTTCCCCTTAATTCTGTAAATAAATTATTGTATACTTATTTAGTATTCCTTACCCAAAATACTTGGGACCAGAAGTTGTTTTAGAACTGTTTTTTTTTCCCCCAAAATTTTAGAATATTCGTAAATACATAATGAGATGTCTTAAGAATAGGACCCAAGTGTGAACATAGTTCATTTGTGTTTTAATATACACATAGCCTAATAGTAATTTTATACAAGTTTTCATAATTTTGTAGATGAAATAAAGTTTCATGATTTGGAATTTTTCCACTTACAGCATCATGTTGGTGCTCAAAAAGTTTCACATTTTGTAGAAGTTTGGATTTTCAGATTGAGGATACTTAACCTGTACTCGATTCACAAAAGGAATTCTCTTCTTAGCAACAAACCTTATTTAGAGACTTGTTAATAGCTCTCCAGCTGAGAGTTTTTAAAAACATTGCTTTTTGGGCAAAAGTGACACACGCCTGTGATCCCAGTGGCTAGGGAGGCTGAGGCAGCCTCAGCAAAAAGTGAGGTGCTAAACAATTCAGTGGAACCTTGTCTCCAGGTAATATCAAAAAAGAGCTGGAGATGTGGCTCAGTGGTCGAGTGCTCCTGAGCTCAATTCCTGATACAAAAACAACAACAACAACAACCAAAAAAAAAAAAAAAAAAAAAAAACCACCACCACATTGCTTATACTTCTCCAGATTTAGGTTATTCTAAATAGGTACATCCTATTGTATACATGCTCTTAGGAATTCTCCTGGGCATTTAATATACAATAGCTCTTCTCTGGACTGTTACTGAATACTCATTAATAGAATGTATTTAAGAAGTAAGGAAAATAATAATAGGAGCAAAGAAAGGCATTTCATCTTTTTATGAACTCAACAGAAAGGGTGAGAGAACCAGGATGGGGTTGTGACTGAGGGGTAGAGTGCCTGCCTAGCATCTGTAAGGTTCTGGATTTGATCCCCAGGTGAAAAAACAAACAAATAGAAAAGCAAAGATGAAATAAAAAACCCAGAAAGGTTAGCTTAGTAAATAACAGCTTCCTTTTGTTGAATATTCATTATGTCCTTTATTGAATAAACACTGTGTATATGTATACTTTCATTTTATTTTCCAGAAAACTATAAAGTTGATAGTATTATGCACATTTTATAGCTGACTCTATGATAGTCTGTTTCTTTTTTTCCTATAACAACTATTTCTAGAAGGTAATTATAGTATTGCATTGATTGCCAGCAAATCTGAATGTGTAGCTCTTATTTTCTTTTTAGGTAAAATCTTTTTTTCATGACAGGAATGGTGGTGCATGCCTGTAATCCCAGTAGTTTGGGAGACCATGGCAGGAGGGTTGAGAGTTTAAAGCTACCTTCAGCAACTTAGCAAGGCCCTAAGCAACTTAGTGAGACCCTGTTTTTAAATAAAATATAAAAAGGGCTGGGGATGTGGCTCAGTGGTTAAGTGCCCCTGACCTCAATCCCCAGTAACTCCCCCCAACCCCCCCTCCCAAATCCTGTTTCTACACTTTTTTTCTAGCCTATGGATGTATGAAAAGTAGTATGCATACTTTATAATAATCAGAATAAGTTAGCTTTATTTAATAGAATTAAAATAATTTTGGTCTTCATTGTGTGAAACCAGATATCTTCAAGTCATTAAAATTGCATGAAATCACCTGTAATCCCAGTTGCTTGGGAGGCTGAGGCAGGAGGATTATTAATCAAAGCCAGCCTCAGCAATTTAGCGAGGCCCTAAGCAAGACCCTGTCTCTAAATAAAATACATAAAGGGCTGAGGATGTGATTCAGTGATTGAGTGCAAAAAAAAAAAAAGTATGAAATCTTTTTTTTCTTTATTTTTTTGAACAGGGTCTCACTAAGTTGCTTAGGGCCCCACTAAGTTGCTGAAGCTATCTTGGAATTTGGGATCCTCCTTCCTCCCTCCACCTCCCAAGCCACTGGGATTACAGGAATGTACTACCACTCCCAGCTGAAGTCACCATCAATTGAGTGTCTGGGATTAAACCTGAGGCTTCATATGTGCTGAGCATGTGCTCTACCACTGAGCTATACCTCTCAACCCAATGTTGCATGAAATATTATATGCTTTTAAATTTTTAGTTTCTCTTGAAAGGATGGAAATAGACACTTATATCAGAGGAAAACAGTTATAAAAATGAACACTTTTTGAGATAAAAAACTGAAAACCTGACAGGTGAGGTGGCACATGCCTGTAATCCCAGCTAAGGCAGGAGGATAGCAAGTTCTAGACCAGTCTTGGAAATTTAGTGAGACCTTGTCTCAAAATTAAAAAGGAGTGGGGGTGTGGCTCAGTGTTAGAGTGCCTTTGGATTCAATCCCTAGTACCACCAAAAAACAAACAAAAAACTGAAAACCCTTGAATAGCCACATTTATATTGGGAATTGAACTTAAATATACTATAAACCCCAGCCCCATCCTTTATCAGTAACATCTGACTTCTAACTTTTGGCTAATGATGGAATAATATTCCAAAAGTTCTTAAAAGAAATGGTTTTATCTGTGTCCTCATATTATGTGGGTTTTCCTCTAATTTGCATATTCATGATAATATGAGGCCAAGATTGTTCAGAATTACAGTACTCTTTGCCAAGAAGATCTGGTGGTAGAGTGGAGTAATATATCAACACCCCCACACAGTGTTTCATATGTGTGCTCAGCTCTAGAGCACAAATTGTGCTTCTGTCTTGTTTCTTCCTGACCCAAACTATGTAGTTCCGCCATATGTTAAGCTTCATCTCAGTTGGGGCCTTGAGCCAAGTGATTCTTTAGTTCAGTTTCTTGTTTAAAAAGATATCTTGATGCTAGGCACAGTGGCACATGCCTGTAAATTCCAGCAACTGGGGAGACTGCAGCAAAAGGATCATAAGTTTGAGGCCAGACTTGGCAATATGGTAAGACCTGTCTCAAAATAAAAATAAATAAATAAATAAGGACTGGGGATGTTGTTCCGAGGTAGTGAGGCCTGCTGAGTTCAATCCCCAGTGGCAAGGGAAGGGGGAAGCTTGAGACTATATTTTGAGATCCAGACATATCATTTTAAAAACTTATTTTCACCTAGAAATTGGAGTAGATTGTGAATCTGAAATCTTTTTTAAAATATTTATTTATTTACTTTAGTTTTAGGTAGACACAATATCTTCATTTTATTTTTATGTGGTGCTGAGGATTGAACCCAGTACCTCATTCATCCTAGGCAAGCACTCTACCTCTGAGCCACAACCACAGCCCGTCAATCTGAAATCTAAATCTCTCTTTAAGTGTTGTTCTTCTTTTTTTTTTTTTGGTAGTAGAGCTTGAACCTAGGGGCACTCTACCACTTAGCCACACCTCCACTCTTTTAATATTTTTATTTTGAGACAGGGTCTTGCTAATTTTCTTAGGGCCTTGCCAAGTTGCTGAGGCTTGCCTGGAACTTCCAATCCTCCTGCCTTAGCTTCAAAAATTGCTGGGATTACAGGTGTGTGTCAGTGAGCTCAGCTAGGCTTCTTAATGAATGTGTAAACTTCTTAAAAGCTTAGTACTGCTTTAATAATTTTCTCAGAAAAAATTAGAAGCATTGAGTACCTTTTTGGACAAACTGATGTGAGGTGATTTAAGATATTAATTGTTCAAGTTAGCTAATTTTTGTTTTCTTGAATCAAAAAGTAATTATCGAGGACAAGGAATATAGCTTTATAGTAGGGCATTTGCCTAGCATGCACAAGACCCTGGTTTCATTTTCCAGCACTGTTTTTTAAAAAAGTGATTTTATTTATCTTAATATTTATGCATTAAAGATAGAATATCAAAGCCTATATGCCTGTAATCCCAGGTACTCGGGAATCTGAGGCAGGAAGATCAAGGCTAGCTTGGGCAATTTAATAAGATAACATCTCAAAATAAAACAATTTTAAAAAGAAAGGACTGAGGGTATAGCCCAGTGGTAGAGTATTCTGGGTTCAATCCCCAGTACCTCTTAAAAAAAAAAAAAATCAACCCTAAAGCATTGAAAAAACTTAAGGATCCCATTTCTTAACACAGATGTTCTTTTCTTACGTATTACTTAGCAGTTATTTTATTTGTATGGTAAGTTGTAATTATAGAGTACATGACATTTTGGATTCTGCTGTTTTCATCCTGAAAGTACAAACTTAGAACAGAAAGCTAACGGACCATCGTCTCTAATTGCTTTTCTTTTGAATTATGTTTGAAGAGAGGGATAATTTTGAAATTAGGGAGGTAACAAATCATAACCAAAATGTCTTTTTTGAATTAACTTTGAAAACAAATCAGTGTTGAATTGTGTGCAAATAAATGATCCTTATAACCCTGAAAATCTGTGATTTACTTCTCTTAAGTTAGAATCTGCATTGTATTTTATTAGTTTTTTTAAATGGCATTTATGTAGACACAAAATTTACCATTTTACCTTTTTCACCCCAATACTGGGGACTGAATTTAGGGCCTCACATGCTAATCAAGGATTCTAACACTGAGCTACATCTTTAGCCCTTTTTTTTTTTTTGAGACAAGGTCTTATTAAGTTGTCCTGACTGGTCTGGAACTTGTGATCCTCTTGCTTCAGCTCCTGAGAAGCTGACTCATTTTAGCCTTTATGGGTTTTTTGTTTATTTGTTTGTTTGGTGGTACTGAGAGTTGAACCTGGGTGTGCTATATATCACTGAGCTACACTCCCAGTATTTCTTTTTTTTTAAAGTTGGAATAGGGTCTGCTAAATTGCCCACTCAGTCCTTAAACTTTCAGTCCTCCTGCCTCATATTTCCTAGTCACAGGGATCACAGGTGTATACCACCAAGCCCAGCTTATTTTTACCATTCTTATTAGAATTTTAGTTTTTTATTTATTTTTGGTACTGGGGATTGAACCCAGGGGTGCTTTTCCTCTGAGCTACATTCTCAGTCCTTTTCATTTTGAGAGATGGTTTCGATAAGTTGCTGAGCCTGGTCTTAAACTTGGGATTCTCCTGCTTTAGCTCAAATCGGAATTATCTGTATGCTCGAGTGCGTAGTCAATTTGCTTATTTTTTTTAATAGTTAATGATATTTTTAAAATTCTAATTCATTAACATGACAATAGAATATATTTTGACATATCCTACATAAATGGAGGATAACTTCTCATTCATCTGGCTGTACATGATGCAGAGTTTACACAGGTGATACAATCATATATGCACATAGGATAATACTGTTTGATTCATTTTATCTTTCCTACTCCCATACCCACTCCCCTCCAATTTCCTTCCTTTGTAAGAGTGAATTATATTCTATGTATGTATATATCACATTTTGTTTATTCATCTGTCAATGAACATGAGTTGCTTCTGTCTTTTGGCTATTGTGGCTGTTATATCTGTTTTTAAAGTAAATTTTAAAAGCCTTAAAGTTCTTCTTTTTCTGTTAACATTATTTGTATATAATTAACAAGATCCTCCTGCCTCAACCTGCTAAGCTGCTGGGATTATACTCATTTCCCACTGCTTCCAGCTAGGATTTTATTTCTTAACTACTTTCAGTTTTACTTTTTACTTTGTTTAGTATATAATAAAATTCTACCTAAACAGATCTTGTTCTGTCATGACACTGATTTTTCTTTTATATAATCATTTTAAAACAGTGCATCTTCCTATCTTTTTATCATAAATTTTTCATTTATATTCCAAGAAATTATCTTATTGCTTTTCTAAAAACACATAAAAGTTCAAAAATACTGCAGAAAGATTGTGAAAAAGTAGATAAATATATAAATGAGTAAGCAACTTTCACCTTGTAACAACTATTAGCTTTTTTTCCCCCTTTAGTACTGAGGATTGAACTCAGGAGGCACTCTACCACTGAACTGCATCCCCATCTTCCTGCCTTTGTCTCTGGAGTAGCTGGGATTACAGATGTTTGCCACTGTGCCTATTAACTTTTTGGTTGTAGTCTTGTGATAGTTTTTCAAGAGATGTCTCATATATATATCTATATCTATCTATCTATCTATCTATATATATATATATGAGGGATCATGCAGTATAACTTTTAATTCTTATTAATAATAATTTTCTATCATTATTTTCTGTTAACCATTCCTTTTAGCATAAGTGGCATCTTCATTGTATCTAAACTAATTAATTTGAATCATTGGGTTTTTTTGTTGCTTTGGAATTTTATTTATATAAACAATCTATTGTTATTATATTATTGTAATTATTATATGCATAAGTATAAGTAATTTTAGAGGGGATTTTTAAAAATTTTTTAGGAGGTGGCCTTGAATTTCTGGGGTCAAATTATTCTCCTCCCTGGGCCTCCCAGATAACTGGGACTCAAGTATGTGCCACTTCCTGTAGCAGGAGAATATTTTTTATGTTTCTTTCCCTTCTGTGTCTTAAGAACCAAATGATTGAATTACAGTAAACTAGCATAAATTATGAAATCAGTCATATGAAGTAATTAATTAAAGTTATATATTTGTATGCTTTTTCTCTAAGCAGGTTGGCAACATTGTACAAATCACCAAGCCAAAAGGAATCCAGAGTACTGTTTCAGATCACAGTCAGTATTTTTTGATTAGTGGGATTTTGGTGTGGTGGGCAGTAGTTATCTGAAGAGATCATTTACAGATTGCTTTTGTTAGCTTCTGTAGGCAGCAAACATATTTGAGGACAGCTTTTGATGTTTAGAACATCCCCCAAATAGTTGTATATACAGAATATTGTAGTCATAATTGGACTAAAATTTATTCTTAAGAAGAGAGGAAATACTTATTTTGGGGTAGTATGTTCCATGGCATATGTAATGTCAGTATATTAAAGATTTTTAAAGTGAAAGTTGTTGGAGATTTTCAGAAAAGAAAAAATACCAACATTACCTTTTTTTTGGTCTGTGGATTTATAGATCTATCATAGCCACCAAATATAGTACACTTTAAAATGTTAATTTTCTTGTGAATTAACATCATAGAACATACATATTTGGCTGAAATATGCATATTTATCAACATTGCTGAGCCCAAGTATATCTTGGCATCTCATTTTTATAAGGACAAAAACAGAAGTGGAGATTCTGCAGCTGAATTAACCATTTAACTTTTGCACTACCCAGGTGCATTTGAAATAGCCTATTTGGAAAACTTTTTATTTTAGAAGTATTTAATTGTGAAAATAAATTTGTAAAGTACCTAAGAATTAGTACAAACTATTTCATGTTTTCCAACATAGCTACCTTAAAGTTTCTGAGAATTGTTCTTTAGAGAACTTCTGATTGTTCTTTAGAGAACTTTTGTTTTTGTTTTTAGGGTGCTTGGGAGCCTCACCACTGAGCTACATATACTTACAGTCCTAAAAAACATTTTTTTTTTAAGTACTGGGTATTGATCCCAGGGGCACTTAACCACTGAGCCTCATCACTAGCCCCTTTTAATATTTTATTTAGAGATGGGATGTCACTAAGTTGCTAGGGCCTCACTAAGTTGCTGAGGCTGATTTTGAACTTGCAATCCTTCTGTCTTGGCCTCCCAAGCTGCTGGGATTACAGGAGTGTTCCACTGTGCTTGGCCTAGAAGATATTTTTATAATGTAGTGTTTTTTCTGTATTTGTGGTAAATAAGTATTCAATATAATCCTGGCTTGGACCAGCCACAAGGCTTATCCTCTTCATTCACAATGGTTAATAAATTCTATCTCAAGAAAAAAAGTAGCTTTCACACTTAAAAATATTTATCTACCAGTCTTTATTTTAAATGTTCTTAAAACATGTTTGTATATTTTTTCATTTTTCAGCCTCAGGGATTTAGAGATGCTGTTGCCACAGAAGGTTCATCGAGTACCCGGAAAAGGTCACGAGAACCAGAGGAAGAACAGTAACCCAAAAACAAATCTACAATATACAAATATATTGATGTGAAATTCATTGTAGTATACTCATTACTTTAAAGTATAAACACAATAGCATGAATAAATCAGGATTATATGAAGTAAATGGGAAAAGTATTTAAGGAATGTGATTCTCTGAAAAATGTTTTCTAAAGCAGTGTTCTACAATTACATTTTGCTTTGGTTTCATTTTCAGTAGCATTCAGTAAGAGGTAACTTACATAGGTATTACATTTTCCAACTATGGAAAGCTACTCGCATGTGGCCGATCTGAATTTACTGTTCAGACTAGTATATTTTTTTTCCCAATTGCTTAGAAAAATCATAGGAATAAAGGATTTTTAAAATATTATTTGTTCTCTTTTTTTTCCAATTTTTTTAGTTTTTGATAGACTTTTATTTTATTTATTTATATATGGCGCTGAGAATTGAACCCTGTGCTCCACACGTGCCAAGCAATTACACTACCACTGAGCCCCAGCCCCAGCCCCCTTGTTCTCTTTAAATGAAGTTTTAATAATTCTTTAAAATAACCTGTTTTTTTTTTTTTTACTGTAAAGTAAAAACCATGAGTCAGCATATCCTGTTCAGTTTTATGGGTAGGATGCAAATTTTAGAAGATCAATTGATTTTAATGAATTCAGTTCTAAAACCTAAGCCATTTGTTTAATTTTTGTTATTTAAAAATGTTACAGGAAAGATTTTGATGCAGTTATCTAGAAATTATTTAAAACATTTTAGAGTAAGGTTATAAGCCTGCAATTATTTATTTTTACATTTTGAAGCATGATATTATTCATTCTAGAATTATAGATGTATTGACATTTTTCTTTGAATAATCTTAACCCTGTTTGAATAAATTAAAATTTTGGATTTTTGAGTGTTTTCCAAATCATATAAAAATGTCTGGTACTTGATTCTTAGTATTTCTGAATACATTTACAAAATTTACTTTGTTTCCTATATAGAAAGAAAGAAAAAATTATTTTTTCTTTTGAATGTTGGGAGTCAAACCCATGCCCTTGCCCATGCTCGGCAAGTGCTCTACCACTGAGCCATGGTGCAGCTTCCTTAGCTCTTGTTTTGTTTTGGTACTGGGGATTAAACCTGTAGTGCTTTACCATTGAGCTACTTCCCCAGACCTTTTTGTTTTTTATTTGAAGACAGGGTCTTTCTGAGTTGCTTAGGGTCTCACTAAATTGTTAAAGCTGGCCTCAAACTTTTTTTTGGTACTAGGGATTACTTGGGGGCATTTAACCACTGAGCCATATCCCTAGCCCTTTTTTGTATTTTATTTAGAGACATGGCCTTGATAGTTTGCTGAGGCTGGCTTTGAACTCACAATCCTCCTGTCTCAGCCTCCTGAAACTCTAGGATTACAGGTGTGTGTCACTGTACCCAGCTGGCCTCAAACTTTTGATCCTCCTACCTCAGCGAGTTGTTGGTATTACAGGCATGCACTGTCACACCGGGCCGCCTTATTTTTTTAAAAGCTTAATTTTTCAAAGATTATTATTTCTTCTTCAGTTTGTAAACTTTTCCCCTAGCATTTTCTGTTACTTGGTTTTAATTCATGATGTGAGTTTATATCTATTGTCCCCAGTTTATGAGCTTAGAAGTTTAGAAGTCTTACTTTCTGGCAGACCAGTGCTTCATGCAGGCTTTATCTTGTAGTTAGTAAGGTAAATTGAAAAGATGTATATTGCCTTACTCAATTTTATGCCATTGCTATGATCATCCTTTCTGGTGATTTTTTTTAACATACATAAATATAAAGGTTCATGGGGATAAGTGTTATTGTGAAGTAGTGGAAACTAAGAGGTGGGGCCTAGTGAGAGATTTTTTTTTTTTAACATCAAGGATTGAACCCAGAGCCACATATGTAATTTTTTTAAATTTATTTTTTAGATTTAGATGGGTACAATATCTTTATTTTTATGTGGTGCTGAGGATCGAACCCAGTACCTCACACATGCTAGGCGAGCACTTTACCACTTGAGCCACAACCCCAGCCCTGGCCTTTTATATTTTTGAGACAAGTTTTCATTAAGTTGTTCAGGTCCTCACTGAGTTGCTATTTGAACTTGAAGTCCTCCTGCTTTAGCCTCTTGAGCCACTGGGATTATACGTGTATGCCACTGTACCTGCCATAGTAAGAGATCTTTATGTTATTGAAGAGATGCCCCAAAGGGATTTGGGATCCCAGTTTCTCCTTTTTTTCCTCTTTTATTTCCTGACCATGAGCTGTGCAGTTTTGCTCTGCCAGTTTTGCTCTTGCCATTGCCATCCAGCACCCCCATTGGAGATCTAAAATAAATGGGTCCTCCTGATCATGGACTAGAACCTCCGAAACTGTGTGCCAAAACAAACTTTTTTTTTTTTTTAATAAGTCGCTTATCTCAGGAGTTTGTTATAGTGATGGAAAGCTAACATAAATACATTTGCACACATACATAGAAAACATTTTCATTGTTCTTTTTAAAAATATTAGTTTAGTATATTATCATTTCTTGGCTATAGTTAATACAACACAGGCTGTTTAATACAGTCTACTTTAAAAATTATTCATTCTGGGTTTGAGGTTGTGGCTCAGTGGTAGAATGCTTGCCTGCATATATGAGGCACTGGGTTCGATCCTCAGCACCACATAAAAATCAGTAAATAAAATGAAGGTATTGTGTTCATCTACAACTAAAAAACATTTTTTAAAAATTATTTATTCTGGAAAGAATAAGTACTCTAAATTTTGCTTTTTGAGAAACCCTTTCTACATTTATATACTTGGAAAATCAGTTTGATTCCAAGTAAATTATTGAAGGTATAGTATATAATAAAATATAGAGGTTAAAGGCTCACATAGGGCTGGGGCTGGAGCATGTGTGAGGCACTGGGCTTAATTCTTAGTACCACATAAAAATAAGTAAAATAAAGGCATTATGTCCATCTACAATTATAAAAAAAAATTAATTAAAAAGATTCACATAATTCAGGGTTTTGTTTTGTTTAGGACAGAGCTTAACATTTCAAATGCAGATAGAGATCTATATTGCTGGATAAAACAGAAATTATCCCACCATCATCTTTCATCATAAATTTAAGTTTTTTCAAATGTACTTTGTGTGTGTGTGTGTGTGTGTGGTGGGGATATATGTTTATACAGTGCTTTGTTGTTATTACTTTTTATTATTTGTTTTTAGGTGTTGATGGACCTTTATTTTATTCACTTATGTATATGTGGTGCTGAGAATCAAACCTAGGGCCTCTCACATGCTAGGCAAGTACTCTACCACTGAGCCACAACTCCAGCTCAATATGTATTGCTTTATTATTTATGAAGCACTTTTACATCATTGTTTTAACATTTTTATAAGATAGATGTGATAGTTTGTCCTATCTGCTTTTTTCCTTTCTTCTTTACATCTGTCCATCAATGCTTAACACATTTAACTACTACTTATTGAATATTTCAAATAAGATTTCTACTTTTTTTAATATTTATTTTTTAGTTATAGGTGGACACAATATCTTTATTTTTTAAATGTACACCTAATTTGCATTAGTTATGTTCTTGGTGTAATGCAACCATCACCAGTATTTCCAAAACTTTTTATCGCCCCTAAACAGAAACTAAACCTATTAGGTAATAATTCTTCATTCTTCTTTCCTCCAGTTCCTGGTAATCATTTTCTGTTTTTATGAATTTGCTAAATTCAAATACTTCATTTAAGTGGAATCATATAATAATTTTTCTTTTGTCTCCAGTCTATTTCATTCTGCATGATTTTAAGCTTCGTCCATATTGTGGCATTCCTATTTATGGTTAAATAGTATTCCATTTTATGTATACACTATATTTTATATATTTCATCTGTTGCTAGACATTTGGATTATTTCTAAAATGTTTTAGTAGTTTATAAGTTTTTATAAAATAATACCTGTTTTGTTTTCTGAAACTTATGGACTTTCATTGCTAACCAGGTTTAGGGTAGGTAGCTGATTTAGCTTTGGAATATTTAATTTAATCATAGTCCATTTTCATTCTGTAGTTATTTTTTATTTTTCCTTTAGTTATTGTTTTTTTATTTTTCTTAGTAGCGTTTTTACTAAAATATTTGCATCTTGATAAAATTATAGTATAATGTGACAGAAAGATCATAAGAATAGATTTACAAGACTTGCATTCTAATTCCAGTTGAGACATTAACAAGTCATGTCAATTTTGGCATCTTTATTTTGTCATGTCTTTATCTTATTTACAAGCAAGCTAGGACCAAGTGATTGCTTAATTTCATTGGTCTAAATTCTGTGGTTTCTATTTCTGTAGAGGTATTATTAAATATTTACTTTAAATGATCAATACTGAAAATATTGAAAAGAGTCCAGTATAAATACATTTTTATACTTAGGTTCCCATTGTAAGACATTGAATTTCAGTTTTGAGATGCAAAGTTGAAATATTCTGTTGTTTAAAAAAAAACAGTTGCAGAAGAGAGGCTGGCTGTTCATAATATGTATTTTTAGTTAACATCAGTGCCTAAATTTACTGTTACTGTTAAAATTTACAGAACATTTTGCTCCCTCAGAACTGATTTTGGCATAAAATATGTTGACAAGATTTCATGTATTTTTGACCACAGTATATTCCTTTGCCTCTTTTCCAATTTTGTTCACCATTGACATATGCCCTTCTGTGTTTCAACTATCCATTTGATTCTCATTATGTGTAGTAAAATGTGAGTTTTTAAACATACCATTACTCTGTGATTTTATGTTTTACTTATTCTGTGAGGATATAAAAGTTGGGTTCCCTCAGAAGGGTTTGGGAACTCACAGAAATTGTAT